GGTCGAGGTTTTGTATTTTTTTGGTCATTGAGATACTGGGGATTGTGCGTTTAAGGCCTTCATTTACACGGGAATTATGGATTTTAAGTTGTTTAATACATAGTAGGTGTGGATTTACAATTATGTTTATACGGTAGTTGTGGATTTGCGTTTGAATTCGCACAGAAATGATGGATTTGCATATATATTTACGCTGGCAGAGTGTATGTAAACCAGGATTATTGTTGATATTTTGGGTAATAAATCAAGGTTTTTTATTTTCCTGTTTATACAGGGTATTTATCGTATCAGGATTATGGAATGTTTTAAAGAAATTTTGGGGCTAAAAGGTTGATTGATTTATATCCTTGTTTAACTATTTATTTGTTTAGATATATGAGTGTGTGTTTGTGTGTGTGCATGTGTGTGTGTGTGTGTGTGTGTGTGTGTGTGTGTGTGTGTGTGTGTGTGTGTGTGTGTGTGTGTGTGTGTGTGTGTGTGCGTATGTGTGTATGTATATATATTTATTTATTGATTGATTTATTCATGGCAGGACATATCAACACAATCATTAAACTAACATCCGCATCAGAGTAAATGTATTTATTCATTTATTGATGTTTAGCTATGATTATTAACATTATTATCACCTCTATATATTTTTTCTTTGGAGGCTAGGATAAAGTTTATTCTCTCGAAACGCTTGCCTGAATTCTATTTAATCCTAAATAAGGGAAAAAATAGCGGAGGTGGCAGAGCGATAAAGTTAAGGGTATAGGTCAGTGGTTCTCAGCCTTGGAAACGGGGCATTCCTGTGTAAAACTCCCTTGTCGGGCCGTGCGCGTGCGAAGGAAAAGGGAGGGAGAAAGATGGAAGAAGAAATAAGATAGGTAGAAGGAATGGGGGGGGGGGAAGTTGTTGTTTTTTGTGTGTGTGTGCGCGCGTGTATCCATGCTAGTAGAACAAAGAAGGGAGGTACAGGCAAACATACGACTATGCCGAAGGCCTTTTCGCATTTATTGTTTCATCAGGCCATCAACAGTAAAAGCGAAGAGGCCTTCGGCATATTCGTGTTTTCCTGTACCTCCCTTCTTTGTTTAACTTTGTTTAATTTGTTCGACATGAATTCCACACCTGTATGTGTGTGTATATGTATATGTATATTATATGTATATTATATGTATATTATATGTATATTATATGTATATTATATGTATTATATACACATACATATAAAGAAGGTAAGAAGCAGATATAGTAAGAAGGAGACATGGAATAAATAAATGATGGAAGGAGGTAGGAAGAAGAAAGAGAAAGAGAAGAAAAGGGAAGAAGAGAAAGAGGGAGATGATCGCAGGAGGAGGGAAAGAAAAGAAAAGAAAAAATAGAATGGGGGAGAGAGAGATAAGAAATAACAACAGTAAAATAGAAAGCAAAAGAAAGGAGAGTAGAAAGAGATGTGGGAAGAAAATACTGTAGGAAAGAGGAGATGACAGAGAATTAAAGGAGAGAATTATGAAAAGAAAGGAGACAAAGAAGAGGACAGAGCACAGAAAAGAATGAAAAAGAGAGAGAGAAAAAAGAGAATGTACTAAAAAAGACAAAAATACAGAAAGGTAGACTAAAATAGAAATATAAGAAACACACAAAACAAGAGAAACGGAGAAAGGCAGAGAGAGAGAGAGAGAGAGAGAGAGAGAGAAATAAATAAATAAATAAAGAAAGAGAAAGGAGAGAGAGAGAGAGAGAGAAAGAAAGAAAGAAAGAAAGAAAGAGAGAGAGGAGAGAGACAGACAAGACACAAGACAAAGACAAGACTCAAGACACAAGGCACAAGACTCAAGACCCAAGACCCAAGACCCAAGACCCAAGACCCAAGACTCGAGACACGAGACACGAGACCCAAGACCCAAGACCCAAGACCCAAGACCCAAGACCCAAGACCCAAGACTCGAGACACGAGACACGAGACACGAGACACAAGACCCAAGACCCAAGACCCAAGACTCGAGACACGAGACACGAGACCCAAGACCCAAGACCCAAGACTCGAGACACGAGACACGAGACCCAAGACCCGAGACCCGAGACCCGAGACTCGAGACACGAGACACGAGACCCAAGACCCAAGACCCAAGACTCGAGACACGAGACACGAGACACGAGACACGAGACACAAGACCCAAGACCCGAGACTCGAGACTCGAGACACGAGACCCAAGACCCAAGACCCAAGACCCAAGACCCAAGACCCAAGACCCAAGACCCAAGACACAAGACACAAGACACAAGACACAAGACACAAGACACAAGACACAAGACCCAAGACACAAGACACAAGAGAGAATAGAGAAGAAAGAAGAAAGAGAAACAAAAAACGGACCAGGAGCGCAGCCGCACGAGAGGCAGCAGACAAAGGAAGCGGGCCGTGCGCAGGGGCCTCGGCGGGCGGAGGGAGTGGCGGGAAAGACAAGCGAAGTGTAATGGCTTTAGCGTGATTGCAGTGCCGTAAGGGAGGGCGGTGGGCGGGCGGCCGGTGGGTGGGTGAGGGTGTGTGTTTTGATTGCCGTCGTGGTCATCGTCATTGTCATTGTCATTGCCATCGTCATGGTCATTTTTATCGCCATTGTCATTGTCATTGTTATTGTCATGGTCATCGTCATCGATATCGTCATCGTCATCATCACCATCATCATCATTATTACCATCACCACCATCATCATAATCATCATCATCATCACCATAATCATTACCATCACCATAATCATCATCATCATCATTATCATCATCATTATCATCATCATCATCATCATTACCATCACCATCATCATTATCGTCATCATCATCATCATCATCATCATCATCATCATTACCATCACCACCACCATCATCATCATCATCACCATCATCATCATCATCATCATCATCATCATCATCATCATTACCATCACCACCACCATCATCATCATCATTATCATCATCATTACCATCACCATAATCATCATCATCATCATCATCATCATCATCATCATCATCATCATCATCATCATTATCATCATCATTACCGTCACCATCATCATCGTCATCATCATCATCATCATCATCATCATCATTACCATCACCACTACCATCATCATCATCATCATTATCAACACCGTCGTCTTCATCATTTTCAATTATGCTTTTATTTCTTGCAACCCGCATTGCAACAGAGATTGATAGAAGATAATGCAGAGAAAAAAAAGTGTAGAATTTTCAGAATAGGTTAGTTGTTGCCCCGAGTCAAGTCAGCGGTAGTGTTTATTTGTTTGTTTGTGATTGTGATTGTGTTTGTGTGTGATTGTGTTTTGGTGTGTTTGTTTGTGTGTTATTGTGTGTGATTGTGTTTGTTTTGTTTGTGTGTATTTGTGTTTGTTTTGTTTGTGTGTATTTGTTTGTGATTGTGTTTGTTTTATGTGTTTAAGTGTGGTGATTGTGTTCGTTTTGTGTCTGTGTCTCTTTGTTTGTTTATGTATATTTGTACTTTCTTTGTCTGTGTGTTTTGTTTGTTCATGCGTTGACGCATGTGTGTATTTGTTTGTTTTTATATGTGTGTTTGTATATGTGTATGTTTATTTATTTAAGTGTTTCTGTGCGTTCGTACAAGGTCTATGTATTTTCATCCGTATGTACGTATATATATATACATTACAAATTACAATGTACTTCCCTCTATTCCCCTATTAGGAAAGACCAGATGGGGAGACGCCTTAACACCAGCTCTCTTTCAGTGTTTTATATCCGTGTTTTTTTTCCTTTTCTCTCTCTCTCTCTCTCTCTCTCTCTCTCTCTCTCTCTCTCTCTCTCTCTCTCTCTCTCTCTCTCTCTCTCTCTCTCTCTCTCTCTCTCTCTCTCTCTCTCTCTTTCATCCGTTGCATTTATTAATCATCATCGAGGAGAATTACACGGGTTTAAGGCACGAGGGGTGTTGGCGGTGACTCAGCAGGATTGGAAAAGGTGTAACGGTGCCGGCGGGAGGATGCGTGTTAAGTCCTATATTCGGGCAGCGTGGGTCGGCATGGCGTAGTAGTAGTAGGGTGTGAAAGTCTACGGGAACGGGACGCCGCGTTTGAGTGAGTTTTTTTTTTGTGTGTGTGGGGGGAAGGGGTGATGATTCGTTCCATGGGTGGAGGTTTGTTTTTGTTTGTTTGTTTGTTTGTTTTGTTGTAGGGGGTGTGTTGTTTGGTTCGATTGTTTGGGCGATGGATTCTTTGTATTATTGTTAAATGATTACGTGTTCAATAATCACTTCGTTTTTTTTTCTTGTCTTGGTAAACACGCACACGAATTGAAACTGCTCGACTTTTTATGTTCTGATGTTAACACGATTTCTTTTTTCTAAATTGAGGTGCAATATATATATGCAAGAGTATTATTACTGAATTTAATGCAAATAGGTGTGGTACTTATATGCTACGTAATCTCTGTCTGTTTCCCTTGTGCACAATCTCCGCCCTTTTGTCTGTGTCTCTTGCGCACCCGTTTTCAGATCCTTCCCTGGTTCTTGTTCTTCTCCCTTTTATCCACCTGGTCCGCCCTTTTTCCAGAGCGTTCCCTGGTTCTTCTTCCTCCCTGTTCCGCCCCTTTTGCAGATCCTTCCCTGGTTCTTGTTTTTGTTCCTCCCTCTTTTATTTAACTTTTCCGCCCTTTTTCAGATCCTTCTCCGGTTCTTGTTCTTCTCCCGCTTTTATCCACCTGTTCCGCCCTTTTTCCAGATCTTTCCCTGGTTCTTGTCCCCACCCCCTCCCTTTTATCCACCTGTTCCGCCCTTTTTCCAGAGCGTTCCCTGGTTCTTCTTCCTCCCTGTTCCGCCCCTTTTTCAGATCCTTCCCTGGTTCTTGTTCTTCCCCCTCCCCCCTTTTTCAAATCCTTCCCTGGTTCTTGTTCCTCCCTCCTTTTATTTACCTTTTCCGCCCTTTATTCAGTTCCTTCCCTGGTTCTTGTTCCTCCCTCTTTTATCCACCTGTTCTGCCATTTTCCAGAGCGTTCCCTGGTTCTGGTGGACACGGCGGGGTGCGACTGCCTGGAGCTGGACACGGCGGAGGAGCAGAGCAAGGGCAACGAGGGCGAGGCCGTCATCGTCAGCCACTACGTCAGGGCTTTGCTCGAGGCCGGGCTGCCCGAGGAGGACGTGGCTGTCATCACGCCCTATAATCTGCAGGTGAGGAGGAGGAGGAGGAGGGAATGGCGGTGGGTTGTTTGTGGTTGTTGTTGTTTGGGGTGTGGGTGGGGAGGGGTGGGAGGGAGGAGGGTTGTATGTGTTGATGGTGGATGGTTGTGTTGGGATGTGTGTGTGGATTTTGTTTTGGGATAATTCTGGGATTGTGTGTGTTTGTGTTTGTGTGTGCGTGTGTGTGCGTTTTTGTTTGTGTTTGTATGTTTGTGTCTGTGTTTGTGTTTGTTTGTGTTTGTGTGTGTGTGTGTGTGTGTGTGTGTGTCTGTGTGTGTGATTGTTTATTTTTGTTAGCACTCTTATCTGTAGACATAAACAGACGAAATATTATTACACTTTTAAGAATATACTTATTTTTTTTCGCATCTGATTCTCTCTCTCACCTTTATGACATTTTCGTGGCATCTGCAACCTTTCTGGTGCATAATGTCAACATTCCATGACCTCAAAGAAAAAAAAGTTAAGAGAAAAAAAGTAATAGAACCAAAAGAATGAGGCCAACAGGGTATGTGTTGTGTTTTACGTAGCTCGTGGAGCCATTAATTAATAACAGGTATACTATTCCGCAGGTAGAGTTGGTGCGGGGGCTTCTGCGCGAGGACCACCCCAGGGTCGAAGTGCGCTCCGTGGACGGCTTCCAGGGGCGCGAGAAGGAGGCTGTGGTCATGTCTCTCGTGAGATCCAATAAACAAGGTGAGGTGTTGATAGTCTTGGCGGTGATGAGGGGGGCGTGGGGTGTGTGGGGGGAGTGGGGAGTGGGGGAGGGGGGAGGGGGGACTTGTTGTAGTTTAGAATGATTGGTCGTTTCCTGAAGGTGTGTTGGGCGGGGTGGGGGAGGGGTTGGGGTGGGGGTGTGATGGGGGGTTGGGGGTGGGGGGGGGGGTAAAAAAAAACTTGTTATAAAATAGCAAGTTCGGGTTTTTTATGCAGGGTTACTTCCTGTATGTAGTGGATGTAGTTTTAAGGTGGATTATACTAGTCAGCATACATTGTAAAAAATAAAGTTAGTGCAGTTAAAAGAATAGTCTTAGTGAATTCAATGAATTTGATTTGTTAATGCAATGAAATTCATTAGTCAGTGAAATTCAGACATTAGATATTTATGAACAAAGTATACTTATTGTCATATACTGATACTTCGAAGCTTCATTACCTTTTTTTCACACTTAGGTACTGTGGGCTTCCTGAGTGAGAACCGTCGTCTCAATGTAGCTGTGACTCGCGCGAGAAGACACTTGGCTGTTGTCTGTGACTCGGAGACAGTAGGCAAGGATCCTTTCCTCAAAGGATTCCTGGATTACATGGGGAAGCACGCCCTTGTCAGGACAGCCTACGAGTTTCAACATGGTGTGTGGAATGTGGTTTGTTTGTTGATGGTTGTAATAGTGTCATGTTTTCTCTCTCTCTCTCTCTCTCTCTCTCTCTCTCTCTCTCTCTCTCTCTCTCTCTCTCTCTCTCTCTCTCTCTCTTTCTTTCTCTCTCTCTCTCTCTCTCTCTCTCTCTCTCTCTCTCTCTCTCTCTCTCTCTCTCTATATATATATATATATATATATATATATATATATATATATATATATATTTGTATGGTTATGGCACTTAAATACTGTAATAACACAACTCTAAAGGTCATTTTCGCTTAGTTTTCCTTTTTGAAACGGAATATTGATACTCCTTAATGAACAGAGTTACTCCTTTCTCACAGAAATGGAAACCACTGAAGTTGCAACTCCAGAATGTTTATCCCTGAGGCCTAAAGACGAGAAGAAAGACAAAAAATCGGACTCGAAGAACAAAAAGACCAGCGACAAAAGGGACGGGAGAGAAGGCCCCAAGAAGAGAAAGGGCGACGCGAAGCCCAAGTACAAACCCCCGACCGAGGAAGAGAACCAAGAGAGGCGCCAGAAGTACGAGGCGATCATCAGGGAGTTCGTCAGTTCCTCGAGCAACGTCTACCAGTTCCCGCCGGGCTTGAACTCCTTCGAGAGACGTCTGATTCACGAGATCTGCGACGCGCAAGGACTCGTCCACCAGAGTCAGGGGGAAGGGAGTGACCGGTACATCGTGGTTCAGAAGGCGGGGACGGGAGAGAGCGCCGAGGGAGGGAATTGGGACGAGAAGAAGGAGGGGGAGAAGGAAAAGGCGGATGAGGAAAAGAGGGATAAAGAGAAAGAGATTTTACCGGGAAAGATAGAGGAAGGAGAGAAAGAGGATGAGCATATAGAAGATGAAGAGGAGGATGAACACGATGAAGAGGAAGAGGAAGAACAAGAAGAGAATGAAGAAGAAGAAGAGGAAGAAAAAGAAAATAAAGAAGAAGACAGTGAATTCACAAAAGAGAAGGAAAACAAAGACAGCCCCACAGCCGATGGAGGTGCCATCCCAAAGTTGAAGAACCTCACCCTCAACAACACCAAACCACGCATTGCATTCATCAACGGGATGTATCAGGAAGTCAACAGGAAGGGTGATAAGAGTAAACCTGATGATAACAACGGCAAAGAGAATGAGAAATCAACGGCACGATGCCAGAGCTGCGGCAAAGACATCTTGCAACAGAACTTCAGTGTTCATAGTGCACAGTGTGAGAGGAAGATGAGGGCAAGGAAAGAGGAGATGGAAAAGAGGAAGGTAGGATTTAGGATTTATCACTCTACTGCGTTTAATCTCTAGAAGGAAACATCTGGCAGCTCACCCCAGACCCATGAGTATTCCGACTCGGTAAAAAAGGGGAAAAAAAAAAAAAAAATAGTGCTAGAAGCAGCAAATTTCAATGATAAATATCAGACAATATTTTAAATGAGTTTAAAGGGATAGAACATGTGTAAATAATTATAAGTGTCCTCTGATGAGAATGAAAAAATCTATTTCTGAATCAGAGTAATACAAAGTACAAGATGAGTTGCCAGTTATTCCTTACCTGAGCACTGGATGTCCTATACATTTATTATAAAAGTATATGTGGGAAGTTACAGTTCTTTAGCGTTTTCAGGAGCATTTATTTCAGTATGGGGTAGTAAAGTTGTGACGTCACGTTACTATGGCAACGGCGGACTGGTTCTAAACAAAATTTAGTCACAGAGTGTTACTGAGGGTATTTGGTATATGTATTTAAAGGATGTTAATAAGACTAGAATTTTGCGAGACCGTGTTACATGATATAATCAAAGTCCTTTCCATTTTGGTATTTTAATAGGTCTTGATATTTCAGTGTAAAATTACTGTGGGGAAGATAAGACTGCAGTCATCAATCTGATTACCATACTTGTAGTTTTTACAGTTAAATATCAAAAGACTTGTATGTATATTCTTACCATTAGAAATTGTAAATGGAGACAGATACTAACTTTCACAGAAGAATGAGAAGAAGCCAAAGGTAAATAGGAATAGAGGGTGCTAAAGAAAAGAGGCGAGTGGGGGGGGGGGCAGTCCATTAGAAGGCGAGGATTGCAAAACCAAGGAAGAGGAAGGAGCCAAGAGGGGAGAGTCACAAGAAGCCAGAGACAGGAAGGGGAAGCAAGGGGGGGGGGTAAGCCAGAAGGAAGGAGAGGAATCCAAGGAAAGAGGAGGAAGATTTTTTTTTGCTTAAAGGGACAAATGTGGACATAGCTCTTAGCCAAGTCAAAGGAAGTTCCTTCATTGGGTGATCTTGAGTCTTGATCTTGAGTCTACATTTTATTGTTTAAAGTTTATATTCGCTAACACCTTAAGGTAATTGAGTTTGATTTGATTGGATTTTTGGTTATAAGGTAAGGGGCCCTTCTTGATGAATATAACAGAATTGGCGTTTTAACAGAATCCTCAACTTTTATATAATGTTACGTAAGGTATCATTCAGTATTCAATTTAACCCCATTCGCCCCATGTGGCAAGAATACATACCATGGCCACTGTAATACACGTTTATTTATTGTATTTACACATAGGTGGCTCTACAAGTTCTTAATCACCAAATAGCCAGTTTATCAGAACTACCTATCTCACCTGTTTACCCTTTTCCTACACTTTTGGAAAGGGTCTTTTGTATCATTTCATTGTCTAAAATATTTTAATGATAATTTAATAATCATAACATCATAACATCGATAGCAATGGTATTAATAAGAAAAAGACATTTTCCCGCCAATTCAATGAATGGGAAAGTTAGGATCGGTAACTAGAGCCTACTGATAGACTCCTTGCCTGTTGAGCACATGTGGAGCCATCTGTATGTAACAAAATTCACCAAAAACTACAGGGGACAGAACATTTTGTACATTAAAATAGAACTGGAATACTAAAACGAAGAAGTATGAGACAAGCATGAGTATAAGACACTAGCAGATTCCTGGAGCTGGAATACTGCAAACACAAGGAATGAAATGAAAGGTTGAAACTAGAGGTATCTAATATTCTAGTTAAGTATTCACCTAGAACAGGACTACAATAAGCATCCAAGCCTTATTCTTCTCTAAATGTATAATGTAAAGGTAGTTAGTCTTTGGTAGACAGCCGAAAGGTGCGGAAGCGACGGTGGAAGCTATATATATTTCTGTCTGTGACAAATAGCACAATCTTGATGGTATTCAAGTCTATTCAAAGCACTGTTCGAGAACATCCTGTTTGTGAATAACTAGACATAATGAGGCTCAGTCTTGCTCACGTTGCATGCTTGTCTTTCATAAGTGAACTCCAGTTAACATTCCTCTAAAATGAGAAAAAGTCAGCACATGTTATAATTTGTAGTGGGTATCATGACGTCACACTTTTCCACTCTATTCCAATTCATGTTTTTATCTTTCTGCAATGTGCTGTTTACATTGCATTTTATTTTTTTTTTCGTGCTCTGTAGTTTTTTGGTAATCTTTTTATATTTTTTTATTTGCTGAAAGGCCTTCCGTGTTTTTTTTTCTTATAATGTGGGTGTGTCATTCATACACCTAAAGTAGATGCTCAACCCCTGAGAAAAAAATTTAAAGGAATTAACTTATTTATTACGTCAAATTCAAAGAATTGACTTGACGATATTTATACATTTTGGTTCGTTTCAGGCAAACCAGAAAAATGCAAAGAAGAAAGATGAGAGGAGAGATAACAAGCCAGGAAAGGGGAAGAAAGAGGAAGAAGAAGAAGAAGACTTTGATAGTCTGATTGCTCGCTTCACAAAGGTTAGAGTTTTAGTATTTTTGTAGTCCCTTACTGTGGAGATTTCCTTTTTATATTAGTTAGATTTGTCTTTGATAATAAAGCTGAAATTCTCTGTATATAGGAAAGAAAAGATGTGTTTACTTGATATTGGAAAATTATGCCATATAAAAAGCTTCAAAGTATATCCTTTCAAAACTTAAATATGTTTCGAAAATCGTAACAAAACGGAGGCTCAAAGTCCAAACCCGATTCCAGGAGGATAACACGTGTTCGCAACCGAAGTGCAAGACACCAACCACCGTTATCTTCCAGCAGTGTCCGTTTTGCAGGAAGACCTACTGTTTGACGCACCACATGGCGGAGGTTCACGGCTGTGGCGACGAGGCTAGGAAGCATGCAAGGGCGGTGGGTACTGTTGTGTTGTGTTGGGGTTTAGGGTGGGTTGACTGCCTGGTTGGTTGGGATTTTTTTTTTTTTTTGTAGGTGGGTAGAAGGTGACAAGTTTAAGGTTTTTGGTTAATGGGGAGGTGAGTTTGATGGTTGGTGGGTTGTTTTGTAGTCATTCAGAAATTAATTGAGGGTATTTTATAGTGTGTTGCATCTTTGATATGAGTTTAGTTGTACTGACGTCCATATCTCTTTTCTTTCTCTCTCTCTCTCTGTCTTTTGTTTTTCTCTCTCTCTCTGTTTCTCTCTGTTTCTCTCTCTCTCTCTCTCTCTCTCTCTCTCTCTCTCTCTCTCTCTCTCTCTCTCTCTCTCTCTCTCTCTCTCTCTCTCTCTCTCTCTCTCACCTTCCCTCTCTCTCTCCTCAGATGGTGATACGAGAGGGAGTACTGTACCCCGGCAGCGGAATTCCTTCTAAAAAGCCCAAAGACAGCAAACGCAAGCAGCTGCAGAGAAACCTTGACAAGAAGCTGGGCGATCTAACTAGCCAGAGACAGAGCAAGAAGCCCGGTAAAGATAAGGACAAGGGCAAAGGCACAAAGTGATAAAGAGTTCGATAACTGGGTCCTCGGTTTTCAAAAGGTGTCTTTCATTAGCGTCCTAGCGTGTTGTTTTGCGTGCTTGATTAGGTCACTGGTGCAGAAGGAGGGTGAATGTGGTTGTATATGTATTGTGTGTGTGTTACTTCCTGAAGGTGTTTCAGGATATACTCGTGTGTGCTTGTTGTTTACAGTTAGCGGTGAGAAACGTTACTTAATGCTCGCGTATTTTGATAAGTGATGTTTGTAGATGGTTGATGCAAATGTTTTTTTTTTTTATTGTTTGAATATAAATACATTGTTATGCTGTGGAGATATTGCATATATATGTCTAATTAATGCAGTTTCAAAAGGTAATTCTCAGTGTTATAGTGATTTTGTTGTGAATTTTCATGGTTATATGAAATAAAGCTATTTATTCGTAGTGTTATTGAACTATTACAGTGTACTTGCTATTTATCATCTATTTATATTTTGAATTGAAAGCAATTAGGTTATTATATAAATCTCAGGTTTTATATATAAATTTGTTTACTTAAAAAAAACTCTTTGTACAGGCGTTTCAATTTTATTTTTTAATCAGACGATAAAATTATTCCCCCTTTTGTGTTAATATCTCGAAAAAGACCGTCGTAGCTTCTTCAAAAAAATATACATTTAACCACAATCTCAGGATCCCAGATAATCCTTAGTTCTTTTGTCCCAAGAACAATTGATATTTGTTTTCATATTTCTTGCCAATAAAAATTCTATTTTATTCTGTTAGCTTTTTATCCTTTAATGACCGTGGGTGTTGGTTAATGAAATGGATTACTATTATATTTCTATTTAGTGGTTTATTATATTTAATTACTATTACTAGTAGTTTATTATATTAAATTAGTATTACTAGTAGTTTATTATATTTAATTACTATCACTAGTAGTCTATTATATTTAATTACTATTACTAGTAGTTTATTATATTTAATTACTATTACTAGTAGTTTATTATATTTAATTACTATTACTATTATATTATATTGGCCAAGCTAATTTTTGGTTTATAATTGATGCTGAAGCTCTTTGCTAAATATGGCTTTAAAGCGTGACCGGAAAAGGTTTTACTATGATATAATCATTTCTGTTTCTAAGTAAATATTGAGTAAATAATGAACTTTAGGAAGAATGTACTATCGATGGCCGTATTTTTTTACGTAATTTCAGTTTACATCTTGGTAATTCTTTCAGACTTCTTATTGGATAATATAATTTATTGTGTTTTATCAGAAGGAATGTTGTTTTTGAAATGCCACATTATTTGCTTGAAATATGTATATTATTAATGTGAAAATTAGAGGTAATAAAAATCTGAAAGCCACCTAACGATTGGGAGACATAATCACCATAAATAAAACTATTTCATACTATCGAATCGAAAAATTATAGTTTTGAGTTTTCTCCGTATGGCGGAATCGTGAAATAAAACCGTTGCCATTCTAGCGATTTCCCGCTAGATCTAGAGTTTTTGAGTTATGATCTAGCAGGAAATTTTTTGAAAGTTTAATCTATATCTTACGATTTTTAAAAGTCCTTCTTAGCAGGAACGTGAGGAGCTTTTTCTCTTATGTCTAGCGGTTTTTAAAAATAGGTTTAGCGGTTTTGTGGAAATGTCAATGGCAACACTGTGAATGGTAATTATAAGGCCGTTGGATGGTTAAGACAGAAAATTGACAGCTTTCTAATGCAAAGATTAAACAGCTAAGTAACACGGAAACTTTTGCTAAAACACCAATTTTTTAGACACCCTGTATAGTTATCTTTCAGTTATACTTCTCATTTTTTTGTAGGAAGGGTTGATTTTGCTATTAAACTCGATATTTTTTATAATAGTTATATTATATGGGATTTTCTTTACTTGATAAATGCATTTTGTGTAGACAGGAGGAAATGTTAGATATGATCCATAGGCCATTATACATTTCCGTTTAATCAATCTTGCAGAAACATGGTAGTAAAATGTGGGAAAATAAATGAAAAATAAGGACAATTAAAATACATTTATTATTATAGTCAAAAACTTAGCAATAGGTTTACTATCATCATAGAAAACAGACAGGAGTAAAAACAAAGTGCAAAATTTATACATTTCATAAAATTCATATATATTTCTTACAGTGTAATAGATAACATCTTAAATCCCTAATGATATTGAATATTGCAAATCACTTAACTTAAATGTGGTTCATGTAAATTAATCGAAATCATATATGAGTATATTTTTTTAAAGACTACGTCACAACCGTTAACTGAAATATAATGAATATTCAGAAGTTAAGTTTGAGAAGAGAGACGAGATTAAAATATAAAAATGTTAGTATTTACATTTATTGAAGAAATCCTATTTGTATGAAATATATATATATATCTAATGTGTGTGTGTGTGTGTGTGTGTGTGTGTGTGTGTGTGTGTGTGTGTGTGTGTGTGTGTGTGTGTGTGTGTGTGTGTGTGTGTACCATGTCAGCACTTTCAGCAACAAGGAAGCTACTAACTGTATATCCATGTATAGTTAGTACATTCTACTTACAGTCTAGGCAAACAATATATATAATTATCATAAAGTCAACAACTGCGGAACATGAGAATGATATTATGTATAATTATGTACACCTCAAAACAGTAGAATGTATAATCTAAAACCCGAATAGTCTACAATGATAATAAAAACCAGAGAGACAGAAATACCAAAAGAAAATAATACATTTATTTATAAGACATGCAACAAAGTGAAAAGGAAGAAAATGCATAATATAAAATTGAACCTATAAATACATGTTGTATACTGGCCACGGCGATCGATGAGCTTTTGCACAACAAAGAAGGATTTTTTTTTTCAGAATTCTAACTGCCTGAGGATGATCTCTATCGCGCTTTATCACTGTGATCATAGGAAATTATATGTAACAAAAAAGTGTTATACATATTCATTAAACCGTCTTGCATTTTAAACTGAAATATGTGCTGCATATAGTTTGTTTCATAAAATTAGTTTAGCAACTTTTTTATATAAGCTGGGAATTAGTGCATACTATCTACCGTACATTATGGCAAAAAATCTTATATACTGAAATGTTTTGGACAGTAGTTTATCATACTCCTAACAAACGTCTTTCTCTCAGAATTCAGTCAAAGATGATGGCATTAATGTAAATGTTTATGGGAATAATCGGATATAATGACAATGATAATGAAAATAATAATTGATTGTGCTATAGGCGATTATGCAGATAATGAAAGTGGTGGTGATTTAAAGACAAGAAAATGAGTTTGAATAAGTAAATAAATTTCCATATACACCTGACACCCTTTTTAAGATGATAAGCATACGCAATTTCATACAAGAAAAAAACTCGATACCAAACCACAAAATCCAGTTTCAGTAAAATACAAGAAAACTAACTCGTAAAGTACAGGAAAACCAAGCACCCTTAAAGAAATCAGACTCCAACCCCCTCCCCCCAAAAAAAAAAAAAAAAAAAAAAAAAAAAAAAACAGATGCACTAACCAATGCACAATTCCCATTCACATAAACCATTACGATCTAAACAAAGGCAGAAGAGCAGCGACCACCACCAACACCGAACTAGCCACGTTGACAGACACTCCCGACATAACTACGTGCTTCTGGCGGCCCTTGATGTGGGTGTACACGTTCTTGGGCGCTTGTACAGGGCGGTCGCATTCTCTGTAGGGCCCTATGCACGACGCGTAGGCCATCACGTGGGCAACGTAGTTCTGCTCGTGCACGCGGTGGAACAGGTGGGACATGGGACCTGCGAAGGGGGCAAAGGCGTTGAGGTTTTTCTTTTTTATTGTTATTTGCGTAGTTATTATTTATTTGTTTGTTTGTTTGTTTGGTGTTGTTTGATTGTTTGTTACTTTATTTAATTGTTATTTGCTTAGTTATTATTTATTTTATTTTTTGTTTGTTTGTTTGTTTGGTGTTATTTGTTTGTTGTTACTTTATTTTATTGTTATTTGCTTAGTTATTATTTATTTAATTATTTTGTTTTTTGTCACTTTATTTTATTATTATTTGTTTATTTCATTATCGGTTTGTTGTATTTTTTTCTTTCTATCTTTTTTTCTTAATGGCAATTGTGTTGATAATATTCTGAACAGCCAGGGAGGTCGCCAAAGTTTTATTAGGATGCCTTAATTAAATTCAAGTTTCAATAGCCCTCAGTATATCGATAGGGTTGCCGAGGGTAAACTTTCAAAATGCATTTTTTTGTGAGTTTCAATACTGATGTGCATGTGTGCCTCAAGACCAGTTATGGGACTGGAAAACGATTATTTTCTTTGTAAACAATATCAGCTTTATGAGCTGTCCTTACTCAATGATTATAAATAAAAGCCAGACGACTGTCTGGAGGAAAATAGTGTTTAATCCCATTAGTCATCGAATCACACCCTCTGACCTTAAAAAAAACACATCCAACCGTCTTCCATTTCTATACAAAACTTTAAGCTTTGCATTCATCTTACCGATGGCATAAGCGGCCACGTCCTCCCCTCCGTGCGTCTCAGAGCCTTCGTGGGTTGGCACTCCTGCGAGGGCCTCGAAGTTATTTCCTGAGGTATCGACGCCAGTGAGGTTCAAGCGCATCACCTGGGTTGGGGGGAGAGGGGGGGGGATGGAATGGTGATTAAGCTCGTTCTTTGTTATTAGCATAGTTCTTAGTAGTTCTAATATTTTTTTCTTATTTTTTATCTCTCCCACGCATTCACATGCACACACACACAAGCACACACGAACGCGCGCACACACACACACACACACACACACACACACACACACACACACACACACACACACACACACACACACACACACATACACAAACACACAAAAATACACACAAAAACACACAAAAACACAAACATACACAACAGCCCCCTCCCCACACCAACACTCCCCCCACCCCACACACACACTCCCCAAGCACACACACGCACACACCTCCCCACCATATAAACAGCCCTTCCTGCTCACCCATACAAACTAGAGTATATCCCTCACCTCCTTGCCGTTCCAAGTGTAGTTAAACCCATGGCCATTGGTGAACATAAGGGTCGTGTAAGGCATGCCATCTGTGACATCTTCGTTGAACTCAACCTTGCCTGAGAAAAGAGAGAGAGAAAATAAAGTTATTTCTGGTTATTCTTGTATTTATTCGTCCATCTCTCATTGTCATTTTTAAAATCTTTGCTGTTATTGTTCTTATGATTGTGCTAATAATACTGCTGCTGATGATAGTGATGATATTGATAATGATTTCCAAATGAACTAATTAAACATTTGTATTATTCACTCCATCATTTGAGGTTTTACATTTGTCTGTATAGGTTATCCTTTGTGGTACTGTCAAAATAAGTTGAAATGCATGTTATATGTATTAGTGAGTGAGTGTGTGTGTGTGTGTGTGTGTGTGTGTGTGTGTGTGTGTGTGTGTGTGTGTGTGTGTGAGAGAGAGAGAGAGAGAGAGAGAGAGAGAGAGAGAGAGAGAGAGAAGAAGCTAAGACAGAGTCAGAGCGAGAGAGAGAGAGAAAGAGAGAGAGACTAAGACAGAATCAGACTAACGAAACAAATAAGCGAGTCATTACCAAGAATATTGTTGCCTCTTGCGGGATACCCGTTGATGGTCATGACATGGGAGTGATCAGCAGTGATGACCATAAGTGTCTCCTCCATGTTCACCATCTTCATCGCCGCCTCCACCGCCTCCTCCATGGCCAGGAGCTCCTCGAGGGCGCGCTTTGGCTGTCCGTAGTGCAGGCCGTGGTCAATGCGGCCGCCCTCAACCTGTTGGTGGGGTTGATAGGTCGTTAGATTCTCGTCGTTAGATAGATACGTATCCAGGACAAGCATTAGTTTCATTATTTTCGTTCTCTCTCTCTCTCTCTTTCTTTCTTAGCCTCTCTCGTTCTCTCTCTCTCTCTCTCTCTCTCTCTCTCTCTCTCTCTCTCTCTCTCTCTCTCTCCAGGACAAGCATTAGATTCATTATTTCAATTCAAAAGAGTTAAATATATTGCGTATTATAAAAGAGGGATATGAATTTACTACTACTACTACTACTAGTACTGTATGATTACCATATATGTAAGAACAAAATTATTACACCAAGAAAAGAAGATTGCAAACTAGATCGTTTACCCCCAATCTATACTAGAAGAAGAAAATAGAGGAAGAAAATCAATTCCCAATCTTATCATTCATTCCCCATAGATTTACTCCTAGTCTAAAATAACACACTTAAAAAAAACGAAAAAAACAACTAACTCTATGTATCGACCCATTCCTCTTCCAATCAAAAAATAACAACAAAGAATAGCTGAAAACAAACCCATTGATCTATCTAACAACCCCGATCTACCAAACCATCACGCACCAGCAGGAAGAAGCCATTGTCATTTCTCTTCAGTCTCCTGATGGCAACCTCCACCATCTCCCTGAGGTGAGGTGTTCCGTCCAAGGTAACGTTGCGGTCTAGTTCATAAGGCACGTGGACATCGCCGAAAAGACCTGGGGAGAGGAGAGAGAGACAAAAAAAATGAGGGTCGTAGGTTGTTGCAAAGTGTGGGTTTGTGGGTTGTGGGGGGATGGGTAAGAGAAAGAAGAGTGGCTGTGGGGGAAAGGAAGGGGGGATTCATTGTGGGTAATGGGGATTGAGTGAGGGGATTGGTGAGTGAAGAGACAGAGAGAAAGAGGCATGGTGAAAATGAGGGTGGGAGATAGGGATAGATGGATAGATAGAAAGGTATGGAAGAGAGAGAGAGAGAGAAAGAGAGAGAGAGAGAGAGAGAGAGAGAGAGAGAGAGAGAGAGAGAGAGAGAGAGAGAGAGAGACAAAGAGAAAGTGTGATATGTAATGATATCGACATCAATCAAAATGAAACGAAATATAGGAGAAATACTCAATACATTCCAATTACATCCAATCACCATCATTTCCCTCAACACCACCTATTAATCATCACCCAACAAACCCACCCACCAAAGACAAACAAACAAACAAACAAAACCAGCTTTAGTAATCCAAAACTCCCATACCCATGATATAATCCGTATCTTCGATGTTAACAGACCGCAGTTCGCGCGTCGTGGTCACATAGGCATGGGTCTTCCCTCTGGCGGCCTTGTCGTTCTGCCACTCCTTCGGCAGGTTCCTCCCGTCCTTCCTCAGGCACGTCTCCTCTGTGTCCGGGTACACCTGCGCGCCCATCTCCTGACGCCCGCCGCCGAAGATAACCTGTTGAGGGAGGAGGGGGAGGTGAGGTTAGATTAGGTTAGATTAGGTTTAGGGTAAGTTAGGTTGTTTTTTTTCCTTGTAATTGTGGGAGAATCTGGCTTTGGTTCTGGATCTTATATATATATATATATATATATATATATATATATATATATATATATATATATACATATTTGAGTATTTTGTTTTTCGTTTGTATTTCTTTGTGTTTTTATTATCGTAGATTGTGTATTAGTTGTATTTCTTTTTTACTTTACAATTTTTCTGAAGAAAACTGAAAGATTCTGACAAAGACTACGTTCTCACCACCCACCCCCCTCCACCCACCTTCATATTCCTAGCAGGCTCGTCCTCGACCAGCTGGCGCGCGATGTCCTTACACTTGAGGGCCTCCCCACCCTCCTTCATGATCTTGGAGTCACACTGCCACTTCCGGTTGGCAGACTTGGCGTAGAGACCGGCCGGAGTAGCGTGCGTCACCTGCGCCGTCGTGACCACACCTGTAGGAGGAGCAGAGGGAGGAGGAGGGGGGAGGGGGGAGTGTTAGTGAGGGAGAGTGAGAGCTAAATGGATGCGTTTTTTTTTTTTTTTTTTTTTTTTTTTTTTTTTTTTGAGGGGTCTCTTGAAGCAAGGATTTAGAATTTAGAAAGATTAAGGGTGAAGGGTTTATGACGATAATGATATTGATAATGATAATCCTTATTAAAAGCAACTTTGACTCCCCTTACTAACCACCAAAGCTAACGACAAAAGAAGCCATATCTCACCAGTGTCCTTATCGGCGTTCTGAGCCCACTGAAGAATGGAATCCAGTCTGTTTTCGGGCTTGAGAGAGGCTGCACAATCTCCTAGCTTCACTTTGCCATTGACGCCCAAGGTGTAGTAGTTAGCTTTGACACCCGTGAGGTAAGCTGTGGCGGTGCCGGCGCTGTCTGGCACTTGCTTGTCGAGGTTGTACGTCTGTGAGATGAAGTCGTTAAATTGTTGGTAATGAATAAAAAGGATGGAGAAAAAAAAAATCTGGATTTTTTGTTTTTATCATTGAGAACGAAATACGAAAATGTGTGAAAGGGAAACAAAAAAACAAAACAAAAAACAAAAGGTAAATTGAAGCAAGATGAAAAAAAAAAATCTATTTATTTATATATCTATTTATATTTCCATCCGTTCAAAACAATTCAGCACATTAAACGACTCGTAAATAAACAACAAGGGAAAGGCGAACGGGCGGTTACAACACCAAACAGCCATTACCTTCATGAGACCGATGTTAGGGAACCTCTCCCATACTAAATATCCTTCTTCACCAGACACTCCCTTCTTCTGTCCCTTCAGGATCCTGCCGGCGGTTCCAGCTGTTACGCCCATACCTAAGGAAAAGGGTGAGTGTGTTTATTAGAGGGTGTTTGGT